CTTACATGAATATGGAATTGCTATGAAGGGCTATTTTGTACTTTTACAAATAATTGTTTTTAAAACGCCTTCTCGCACTAGACCAAAAAAAAACCCAAAACCCCAAACGTGTTTTCCTCAGGAGCCTTGCAGTAATTAAAATTGACGTTATGTATAGATATGTATATAGATAACGCCTATAAATTATTTGCATATAACGATTTCTACTGAATGGGTTTTCCACTCTCATGATAATTTGTACATCATTTGTACTATTGTGTCTAAAGAAAAAGGATTTGGGGCAGCAAAAGTAAACCAGTCCACTTACTATATAAGTTGTACAGAGGTGCTTTGATTCAACCCCTAGCAGTCTGAGTCCAGAGCCCCTATGCTTTAAAACATGATATAGCATGTCCTACAGGTAATATTATTATTTTTAATTTGTCTCTAGTCAATTCCTATTTATTTATACCCATGTAGATTTTTCATGTAGATTTTGAACATTTATAGTGTATTATTTGATATAGCAAAGCTAATATCACTTTTGACGTTTCTATTTGAGGACACATGTTGGAGGTAGAACAGAGTAGTCTATGACACATTTTAAAGGATAATCATTTAAATTGGGAAGCCTGGCATGTGTTTGTTTTTCAAAACAGACAAATGGGCATTTCTTCTTAAAGAAAGCAGTTACTGTCTGTAATCTGAGAGGTCAAAGAGAAGCAATTAGAAATACCACAAAACTTTAAAGCACCTGTTTTAATGAAAACTATCTGCAAGAGTTGAACATATTGAATCACTGACAGCCTTAAACACCCTAATTTAGAGAATCAACCCCTCATTCCTTGAAGATTTTAGTACCAGGCTCATTACCACTCTCTCCAAGGTTACTCACTACTCTAACGCTTCTATCATTCCTGTGGATAAATCTTTGTTACATACACACACACCCCTTTCAAATGCTTATTGCCTCTTAATTCCTTAACCGCAACTCTACAGATGATCTTGTGCCCTCTGCTCTCTCCGCTCCCCACTCTCATGATCATTCCAAAAAAGACATTACTGACAACTACAGCCTCCCTGCTAATTTTAATTTCAAGAACCTAAACTACAACAATTCTTCTGTTTCCTGATCAGAAACAGCAATCTATTCAGTCCTCCACCCCTCTCAGAGCCTTACTTCTTACCATGACTGAAATTATAATGCTTCCTTTGCTTCTACCCCCAACTATTTGCCCATCTCTCCCCATCATGCTTGGTTGGCCAAATCTCAGACCTGGTTAATCCAAAACTGCCTACCTTTGCTTTATTCCATAAGCAACTGAATATGGCTAGAGAAAAATGCAGAACCATAGTGACTGGTCTCACTATAAAAGAGAAGCAACTAGAAATCTCACAAAACTTTAAAGCACCTGTTTTAATGAAAACTCCTATTGCAAGAGTTGAACATATTAAATCATTGACAGCCTTAAACACCCTAATTTAGAGAATTCAACCACTCATTCCTTGACCATTCCTTGACACATCATTCATGACCACTTACTCAGGCGAGCCCTGGCCCACCCTTTGTAGTGCCTGGAAACTAATATTTCACCTCTCTTCTCTCCTCTCAAACTCCCCACTCCTTGCTTTCAGTTAATGACTATTTTAGCTAGAGTAGGCTAAACAGCTATAACAAATAGACCCCAAAGCGTTATGGCTCCAACTCAATATAAATTTATATTTTGCTCACATAACAATCCAGAGTTGGTATTCCAGGTCAGTGGGCAGCCCTCCTTCATACAGGCACCTTCTCTCATGTGGTTCTCTCAACTCTAAGGGTTTGTAGTCATCTGCATAATCTAGCTGGAAGAAAGGAAAAACACATAAAGGAGGCACGCTGGCCTGACAGTGGCAGACATTTCTGCTCACATTCCACTAGTAACGGCTTAATACTTGACCCTACGTTACTGAGAGGCTGAGAAAAATAATTCGTGTACTCAGGAAGGGGAGAATAAATTGTGATGGACAATTAGCAATCTGCAATCTTGTTTCTTATTTCACCAAGAAAATTAAGCAACCAGAAAAGAACTTCTATTTTATCCTGCTCTCAAGTCCACAAGTCTACTTCGATAGGTCCTATAATGCGTGGGGACTGGCAGGGATTCGATTCCTAGGCTGTCCCTGATCACAAAGGGACAGTTTCCAAGCTTTCAATTAGAACATGGTCATAATGACCACACTACCTAATCACAAAATTCAAACACATCGTCCTTCCTTGTGCTTTTCAGCATCTGTGGTTTGGGATATTGTTGATCAACGCTCCTTCCTGTCTCTGCCTTTGTGAAACCCTAATTTGCCTTGTCTTAGAGAGTCATAACCTTGGTTCTCCTCCCACTTCTTCCTCACTCTTTGCTGGCTTCTCTCATCTAGGTCAGAGCTTCTCAAACTTTCATATGATACAAATCACCTGGGGTTCTTGTTAAATTTAAGACACTGATTCAGCAGGTCGAGTGGAGAGGGATGAGATTGTACCTAACAAACTTCATGGTAATGCCTGTGCTGCTGGGCTATTGATGGCACTTTGAGTAGCAATGCTCTAAAGAAGATATTTTCCAAGATTCTGCCTTTCATTTTTTCCTTCTCTCTCACACTGATATCAGTTAGGCTGATAACTTCCCAATCTATTTTCTAGTTCAATCCTCTTTCCCATATTTCAAAACCTTTATGTCTAACTTGTTAGTGTCCACTTCTATCTGGCTGTCTCGACAACCTTCAAACTTTTTAAATGTCCAAATCTAAACTGATCTCTCAAAAAGCAATTTCTACTCTACCTCCAATTCTCTCTTTTCTATCTTATATACTTATCTATAAAATTAAAACCTCCACTTTGATTTTTCTCTTCCTCCACATATTAACCTTCATATATGCTCTCATTAGCCCCTCTTGCTGTAAATCCAATTAATCGATTACCAAATTCTGTAGAGTCTGCTTCCACATTATATTTAAACGATGCTCTTTTAAACTTCTCCTGCCCTACCTTTAGTTCAGACTTATCATTACTTTTCATCTGGCCTATTGCAGGTCTATCTGGCAGTTTTCCCACCTCTAATTTCTGTATCCATTCACAGAGAGATCAAAGAAAAGCTGTGCTTTTCTTACCCAAAACTTTTAAAGCACAAAACTAAAAATACTGAAATACAAATTCTTCTACTTGGTATCTTGGGCCCCATTCTCCTTTGTCTCTGCCACTTCTTAACATGCTCTAGAGTCTTATCATTTGCTTTTTCCTGAACACGACTTTCATTGATTCACCTTCATATGTTCTCAAGCTATCCCTTATTGCTGTGAAGCCTTCCTCATCTCTTTCACGGTCAATCTCAAATGGTTTTCCATGCTGTCTTTCTTTCCTGATCCCCCAGACAGATGAGTTCTTTGATCTTCTGCAGTACTCTATTTTTCACAAGCCACCTATCATGGTTTGTCTTTTATATGTGTTTTATCTTTGGTTTATTCCTTACTCTCTGAAGGCAAGAATGACATCTTCAACTCTCTTCTGTAATCCCGCAGCATTTTACCCATAACGGCCGGTGTGTCTACTACTAGTTCAAAGTGAGTTAGGGAGATAATGTAGTGCAATAGTAAGCAGCACAGAATTTGAAGTCAGTACAGCTGGATACTGGCTCTGCCATTTACTAGCTGTGAGGCTTTCGGTAAGTCACTTACCTTGGCTTGTAGCATTACTACCTGATACAGCACCAAGGGAGAGAACGTGAAAGTGCTATGTTAACTCTACAGAGAAACGACTAAGTTCCTTACAGAGACCCGATGCAGTCTTGCCATTCAAAGCTTGATTCGCAGGACCCCTCTTACTTCACTAACTGGAGATCGAGCCCCGAGTGGCTGGGAACCTGGACCACCGGGTCCCGAGGCTCTTGTCCACTCTAGGGCCCTCTAATTGCTCTCTGTGATGCAGGTGAAGCCATCGAACTGCGGGGGGAATGGCCTGGAGTCCTATTCTCTCGGGAGGCCTCCCTCCTTCCACGCTCTCTGGGAAAGCCCTTCTCTTCCCGGTAACCCCGAAGACCGCGGCTCCGCCGCCTACGTGAGACGTTTGGACCCTGCCCGGCCCCCGTAGCTCCCCTTCTCCAGCAGGTGGTTCTGGTCCTCTCCCCCACCTCGGGGCGCTCACGTCACCGGCGAACCTCTACCCACGCGCCAGCGCCGCAACCAACCGAGAAAATAAACAAACCTCCAAGCCCTTCTCTTCCCGGTAACCCCGAAGACCGCGGCTCCGCCGCCTACGTGAGACGTTTGGACCCTGCCCGGCCCCCGTAGCTCCCCTTCTCCAGCAGGTGGTTCTGGTCCTCTCCCCCACCTCGGGGCGCTCACGTCACCGGCGAACCTCTACCCACGCGCCAGCGCCGCAACCAACCGAGAAAATAAACAAACCTCCCC